TCTCTTTCGTCTTTTTCCTTCTTTCCGATAGAAACGGATTTTTCAGTTCGTCATTCTTTTTACTCCTAACGTATTAGAACCCTTTTCTTGCGTTTTTTTTTTCTCCTTTTTTTTTTTTTTTTTATTTTCTTTTTATAATAATTCTCTCTCCCTCTCTCTCTCTCTCTCTCTCTCTGTCTCTCTCTTTTTTTTCTTCTTTTTCTTTGGGTTTCTTCTCGACGTCGTGGAATTTAATCTTAATGTTTCGGTTAATTGCTACCAAGAAAGTTCTCGACGTACTTTTTGGTAGGTCTTTTTTTTTTTTATCATTCATTAAAATACCCCACGCGAGTTTTTACTTCGGTTTTGTTAACCGTAATAATCGTTATTATTTACCCCGCGCGAGAAAAATAAAATAATAATGGGAATTGAAACGAACACGTAATAATAAAATGTCTTGTTTTCGTTTCTCGTCGTTTCCGTATTACAATAAATAAAAGTACAAAGCAATTTTTTAAAAAACAATTCTCTTTCGTAAGAGTACATTTTTCAATCACATAGAAATGAATCGTTTTAACATTTACGAATAAATATATACTATTATTCCTAATATAATATACACACATCTAATTATATTACTGATTATATTTCAATAAAATCTAATTAAAGGTGACAATTATTAAAACCCTCAGTAGGAAATTAATATAATATAGTACGTGTAAATGGAAATATAATGTTAATCTCTATCTCGTAGAAATATTTATTTGCTGTCAAAATAAGGATGTAAGAGGAAAAAAGACAGACAGAGATAGAGAGGGAGAGAGGAAGATTAGTGGAATGAAGGGTTATGGTTTGAGAAAAGGGGAGGGAGCGTAAAGATAACGTTGGAAGAAGAAATTCGTTCCATAATAGTAGCTCCTATTTCAGAATTTCCCGGAGGCGATAAACCGCGAGACAAAGGAATGCCAAAGAGAGAAAGAGAGAGAGAAAGAGTATGTATGTGTGTGTGTATGCATGGATGAAAGAAAAGGATAGGGATAGTTGTGGGAAAACTTTGGATATACCTCGAGGGTACTTTTCGAGCGTTAGAGAATTATTCGATGTTTATGGTGAACGTTGAGGTGATTGACTTTAACTTTTGTTGGATGCAATAGAAAAAGATAGAGATAGATAGATAAATAGATAGATAGATAGAGAAAAGACGAGTCATTTTCACGAGTTACGAATGTTAGAGTCAAACCAGGGAAAATTTTCAATATCGATCCACCGTTAACCTAGGAATCTTCATTTTAATTGAACGTTCCTCGATATATCTCGTATAGTACTCGTTTTAATTACGAAATATTTCTTTTTTCTTTTTATTATTTTTTTTTTCCTATTTTGTTTATTTTCTATTGTCCATTTACAAAGTTTCATCTAACGCCAGTGACCCCTTCCAGCCTGCTAACCAGCCAGCCAGCCAGTCAACCACCCACCAACCACTCACCCCTTCTATTCTCCATCCCTACGAATGGTCGCGTCGGCAAATTAATTTTCCAAACATTCGTAGTAGAACGCGTTGGGAGAGAATGATTTTCGTTCCTGTTGCACTATCTTTCTCTTTCTTTTTTCTTCTTCTTCTTCTCCTCTTGATTTCTTTTACTTCGATTCATTTTCAAAGGCACAGATCGAGGTAAGGGGGAGAAGAAACACGGAATAGATAATATTTTCGAATCTTCGAACAAAAGGATTAAATAAAACTGGACCGGAAGATCATTTTAGAAATCAATATTCGTGCTTTGAATTTTTTACTAAATCGTTTCGCGCTAAATCTCAATTCGACTAACTAACGTATGTTAAATAATTTAAAAAAAAATGAAAAAGGTAAAGTATATGAGTAGGAAAGAAAAATATAATGAAAAAGATAAAGACAGAATGAGTGAACGAGAAAATATGAAT